ATAAAAAGTGCTTAGAAAAAAAAAGATTTTAACAATAAAAAGTGCTTTGCAAAACCTGGAGAGGTTACAAAGATGCTATAAAAGTGTGTATCATTTCCTTTTTCTTTTTAAAGAGTATCAAGATTTGTTCAGTAGTTTATAGGATATTAACATTTGTAGGATATTAAAATTTGTAAACACACAGCCCAGGGTAAAAGCTGCATCACCTTCACTTTGGTGCATTAATTAGTTTCCATGTTAGCTTCACCTGTTGCTACTAAACTGTACGTGACTCAGTTTGAGGCAGATTTAAGGTTACAATTTATTTAATGGACAGTTCTTTAAACACAAATAGATCAACCCAAAAACTCTCCCACTCATAGTCAACTCTCACCAGCCAGGGATGCAAATGGTTATCCTTGTATCAAAGACCTGTAATGGAGGAGTGTGAAGGTGTTTCCTCTGCCATTGAGGTCTGCAGCAAACTCTGGCACTGCTGATTAATGCATTGTAAAGTTAAACAACAAGAGGAGACAGAGCGCGGGCTCTTTTCTCAAACACTAAAGGTAATCTCTAGGCCTTGGGTGGGAGGACTCAGACGATGATTTCAGTACAAGGTGATCTTACAGATCTGATGTCTGAGGAAGTGGGATGGGAGAGAATCCAAAACTTCAACATTGGCTTCAGATAACAGGCTACTTTGGTTATTGTTTTTATTTGCTTCTGTCTTTGTTCTGTCATCTCAGGTCAGGGTGCACAGGTGGGTAGAGGTACTGGATAAGTCAACCCCTGGACTCCAGAGATCTGAAACAAACAAACAAAAAACAATACAATAGATAAACAAAGAAATGCTATGAAGAAACAGTTCAAGGACCTTGCACTCCTTAAAGGCATGGTCAGCTATCAGAACCTTTTGAAGTTAGAACTGGAGTACAACAGGGTTGCTTGCTATCACCTTTCCTTTTCTCGTTAGCCATCGATTGGATGAGATCAGTAACCAAGGAAGATCACAATGGGATTTTTACATAACCTCATCAAACTCAGGAAAAAACTACCAAGCTAGCAGAAACATCAACCACGGTTCTGAGGATCAAGGTTAAGACGAAGGTGCTCAGAATAAACACCACAAATAAAGTACCAGTTATAATCAAAGGGCAATGACTGGATGATGTAAACGAGCTTACATATCTTGGAAATATCGTGAACAACCTTGGACGTGTGTTAACACACAACTCTGTGCTCCAGTGTAGTAAACTGAAAAAACAGTTGATTGATCCACTAATCAATACAATACATTTAATCAGCAGCTCCTGGTTGATAATGAACCCTTTAAATCCTATGAAAACAGCAAGTTCTTCACACACAGCTTTTCTACTTAGGTTTCGAAAAATAGATCCTACAGAGTAATACATTATATTGAATCAGAATCAGAATAAACTTTATTGGCATTGCACCGAGATACAACGAGAACATGTACGTACAATTGTCCGAAAGATGGGCAGAGTGCACGAAGCTGCTACTATAAAAAGTGCGGCCCTCTTATTTTTATTCAGAATAATATTCTGCTTAGATGAGAAAAGGGAAGAAAACATGAGGAGAGACGGTATAAAAAAAAAAGATCTCTCACGCCGTGTCCTAGACAGGGCATGATTTGAGGCATCAACAAAGCCTACCACAGCAAAGCAACATAAATAGACGTGATACATGTACATATAGGATGGTGAAGACATTGAATTTTTAAGGGAAAGTCGTAGCATAGTCCAGAGCCCCCCCCCCCCCTCTCAGCCATTGTCCGGATAAGAGGTATCACCAGCTCGGCTGAGGTTCTGTCACATGACCACGGCCTCCTTGGGAGAGGGAGTGGTGAGGAGACAGACAAAGCATCTTTGTTGTTTTCAAAACATGCCAAGAGGAGTTGAGATAAGTTCTCAGGGGCACAGTTGGGTCAGGCAGAACTCGTGAATTGCTGTTTCTGCCTTTTTAAAGTCTCGCTGGTATATATTCCTCTGATGGAACTCCAAAATAGCCGAATTGATCCTTTACGCCAAAAGTCGAGCTCACAGCTTCTCCAAGATTATTTCCTTTTCATGTATGCTGCTAGAAAGTCTGCAGTCCTGATAACAGCCTGATCTAGTTCCCTGCTGCAGCTCCACAAATTCAGTCCGAGCGCTGTCGAGCTTCGACACATCCACACAAATTTATAGACAATCCAGAATTCACCAGCCAAACAGCAAAAAAATCCCAGTTGTCATCATGAATCCAATTTGTTTCCGTTGAGGTAAGAGGGTCCTCCTTACCCTGACTCCTGTCGGGAGAAGTTGATCAATTTTGTTGAGAGGCCAGCTGATCCTTCGAATTAAGAGGTATGCAGAAAAAACAAAAAACAAGCTTTTTAAGGGTTCACAGGACAAAAGAGTGAAAGCAGAGAGGCGGGTGGCGGGGGGGGGACACATCTGGTTTCACCGGAGGACAGAGAGCGTGAAAAAAAAAGTACTTTTACCAATTGAATGTTTTACCATTTTAAAACCTGCTAAAAACAAAATGATCTTTAAATTCTGTCTTGGCATGTAAAACCTGAGAAATTAAAAATTATCAGTAACTTACCTTTATTATGGCTGGCTACAAAGAATCTAAATCAGGATATGGGCTGAATGATTTTGGAAAATATTCTAATTGCGATTTCTTTTTTTTATCTCAACATTGCGATTTTCAACATTGCGATTTAATATGCAATTATTTTTCAATGTCTTCTTCTCATGTATTTTTCAACAAACCCAAGCAATAAATCATCTCTTTCAGTTGCAACAAACTCCACTGGTTTCAGCTCCGCTGCAACTCTGTTAATCAGGATGCTTTGATGATATAATGGCTTTGGGACACTTCAACAGCTACAGTCTCAGTCAAATATCTGTACATTAAGGGCAAGAATGTGGGATTAATTTGGGACTTTTATATATTTAATTAAACTATTCTCCCTGTGATGGACTTGCAACCACCTCTAACACAGTGATAGCTGGATATGGGCACCAGTGACTCCTGTGACCCAAAAAGGAAGAAGCAGGTAAAGATGGAAGGATGGATGGATGGCTGGATCAATGGATAGATGGATCAATGGATCGATTGATTAAACTATTCTTTGGATGGATGGATGGATGAATGGATGGATGAATGCATGGATGAATTAAACTATTCTTTGGATGGATGGATGGATGGATGGATGGATGGATGGATGGATGGATAGATGGATGGATGGAGTAAACTATTCTTTGGATGGATGAATGATGGATGATGATGGATGGATGGATGGATGGATCATTGGATGATTAGATGGATGATGGATGGATTAAACTATTTTTTTGGATGGATGATGAATGGATGGATGGATGGATGGGTGGATGGATCAATGGATGGATGTGTGGATGGATGGATGGATGATGGATGGGAGGATGGATGGATGGACAGCTGGATGTATGGATCAATGGATGGATGGGTGGGTGGATGGATGGATGATGACGGCTATATTAACTACTTTTTGGATGGATGATGGATGATGAATGGATGGATGAATGGGTGGATGGATGGATGGGTGGGTGGGTGGGTGGGTGGATCAATGGATGGATGAATGGATGGATGGATGGGTGAGTGGATGGATGGATGGATCAATGGATGGATAGATGGATGATGGATAGATGAAACTATTTTTTGGATGGATGATTGATGGATCAATGGATGGATTGATGGATTGATGGATGGATGGATGGATGGATGGATGGGTGGATGGATGGATGGGTGGGTGGGTGGGTGGATGGATGAATGGGTGGGTGGATGAATGGATGGATGAGTGGGTGGGTGGATGGATGGATGGGTGGGTGGATGGATAGATAGATGGTTGGATTATACAGCTTCAATAACTTTAAACCCATGCTGTAGGTTTTCTCTGGTCAGAATCCACATCCAGTATGATTTAGTTCTGACCCATCCATTATGTCATACCTACATGGGCGTCAGAAGCAGCTGTAATGTGGGTGATGGGGGGACACTATGTGTGTGTGTGTGTGTGTGTGTGTGTGTGTGTGCACGCGCACCAGTGTACAAAAAAGCAGCATTTCATCTAGATTTCCTTACGGGTGGCTGTGGCTGAGTGGTTAGAGCAGTCGTCCTCCAATGCAAGAGTTGGGGGTTCGAACCCCACAGCAGTCACATGCCGAAGTGTCCCTGGGAAAGACACTGAACCCCTCATTGCCTCCGATGTGTGTCCCATCGGTGTATGAATGTGATAAATCACTGATTAGTCTCTTTAGAATGATTTGTTCAATTAGCTTTGTAGAGATCTAGTAGAGTGTTGTATGAATGGGTAAATGAGGGCACAGATTGTAGTGTAAAGCGCTTTGAGTATCTCAATAAGATAGTAACCCAGTGGTGTCTCCACCTCCTCCACCTGTAAGCGTTCTCTGCCGAGTCAGGAGGAGACGCACAGAAACACTGCAGGTTGGGGAGAGTTGGAGGTAACCAGGAAAACATGCAGTGGATTTTTAGTGGTTTGAGTATTTTCCTATTAATCAAGTGGATAGGATTCGTTCACGAAGAAAGAGAAACTGTGCCGACTGAATTAATGTTTTATAGTAAAAGTGGGGGGTCCAAATGAACGTTTTGTAATGTGGGGGGGACAAGTCCCCTTCACATATAATGGTTGCGACACCTATGCATACCTATCATGAGCACTCTTCCAGGCAGAACAGGCTAGTTTCACCTGGTTTTTAATCACAGTCCACAAACTGTCATTTAGAAAGAGGATGGGCTTTGGGACGGCCATTAACACTTAATGTTTCTGTGTTTCAGCCAATCAGAAAAGGGTTCTGATGTTTGTTTGGACCTCTGTCCTGCTGGAACACCCAACTGTGTCCAAGTTTCAACCATCCAGTTGTTTATTGGAGGTGAAGTTGAAAATATTATCCTTCTTTATAATCCCATTCATTTTTGTGCACTAGTAACACAGCATGATGCTACCACCACCATGCCTGACAGTTGGTACAGTGCACTTAGGTTTGACATCAGCTCGACTCCTCTAAACATTTCTTGTCATTTGAGCCAACAGTTCAATCTTTGTTTTGGTTGATCATATAACTTTTCTCCATAAGATGTTTGTCTTGTCCACGCAGACACTTCAAGTATTGGCCCAGCTTGATGTTGTGGCTTTGGAGCAAGAACAAACTTCTACTCTTTCTTAGAACTTGGGAGTTTTTTGGACTTGGACTACCAGCTACAGTCAACCACGAACACTAACCAAAAGTTAACAGGCCTTGCTCTTGTCAAGGTAAAAGACTTCCTAGAACCTTTAGCATCATATTTGAGAAGATTTAGGTAAAAGCATAAATATCTTTGAGCCATGTGGATCAGAGAAAATCCAAATTCATAGTTGTTTTTACAAATCATAAAAATTCTGTTATATATTCATTCCACACTGGAAATTAATCCGACAGTCATGCCCATGATGTAAGCGTATGACTGCAGCTGTAACTAGATGCATGAACAGTCGTGACTGACATCGGATTAACAAGCGGTCTCACGAGTAGCTGCTGTGCTGTTGTCGTCTCCGAGCGCTCCTCATCTTCTCAAAGCGGGCCTCCATCTCTTCCAGGACCTTGGGTGTGTAGCGGACCACCAGTTTGACCGAACCCTGGGCAGCTTTTAGCAGCTCCACGGCTTTCTCGTGTTGTTCTGCCTCCACGCTCTGCACAAACACAAGTAGTCAACAAAAAAGTGTTGTGTAAACCATCTGCACTGACTTTAATCCAGAAACACTAAAATGTTAATGTGATGTTAGTTTATTGTTTAAATGCACTGAGTGAGTCTTCAGGTTGAGGGTGAGGTTCTGTCTCAAGTGGAGGAGTTCAAGCATAGGTGTCGCAACCATTATATGTGAAGGGGACATGTCCCCCCCACATTAAAAAAACGTTCATTTGGACCAACCCACTTTTACTATAAAACATGAGTTCAGTCTGCACAGTTTCTCTTTCTTCGTGAACAAATCCATTCCACTTGATTAATAGGAAAATACTCAGGCCACTAAAACTCCACTCCAGGTTTTCCTGGTTACCTCCAACTCTAAACACAGCAGCCTGTTGCCACGGTCACAATATACGGTGGTCACAGAATATGGTGCAACACCTGCAGTGTTTCTGTGTCTCTCCTGTCTCGGCATAAAACGCACACAGGTGGAGGAGATGGAGACACCTCTGTGTTACTCACTCGCCAGTTTAGTATGCTTAGTGTGGGCAGTTGTTGACCAGGGGGTTGATCATAAACATATATACATGTTAGGAGGAGAGAAGTGGAGCGCTACGTCTGTAGCATCTTAGCTTAGCAGTAACTGTGACGCTGTAAGATGCTGCAGGTGTAAGAGACGCTGTGTGTTTAGGTGCATTAAAGTTGAAATGTCTTTAAAACCCCACACTTTATTGTCCTCAAGCTTCGTGAGAAACATCATTTAGATGAGTAGTGTTGAACACAAGTAAAAAAGTCTAGTGGTGATGTTTTTTATTTCTCTATAAACACAAATAGTGCCAACCTGACGCTCCGTATTAAAGTGCATTAAAGTTAAAATTACATTAAACCCACAGCTGAATTTACACAAACTTGGTGAGAAACATGCTTTAAATGTATGGATTTAAAGGAAATCTAGGTGAAATGCTGCTTTTTTGTACACTAGTGAACACCTTTTTTTTTTACGCGTGCGTGCACACACGCACACCTACACACATCATTGTGTCCCCCCCACATTACGGATGCTTTTGATGCCTTTGTAGATGAACATATGCATGATATATTCATAAATTAAACGGATTCTTTCATTTTTCTGGACTGTATAATGTCGTGCATTGAATTTAATAAAATGTATCGTGAGACGTTAATTTTCTTTGACCCATCAAATGAATGCGTCATTTATTTACAGAATCAAAGTTTAACATCACACATTTACATTAATTTGGCAAAATGATTTCAACAACAACATGGCTAATTTTGCAAGCTGTACAGTTTGATTAACCATACGGCGATGGTTGAAAACCTCAAGCTTCACCACAGACATTTCTGGAAATATCTGGAATGATTTCTAGCAGGATAGAAGAATTTTAAAGATGGAAAGATGAAGTTTAGAGGGAGGGAGATGGTGTGTGAGTGAAAAGTGTTGAACAGAACGGCACCCTCCATTCGAACCCAGCTTTCCTCAGTACGCTCGGTAGTAAACTCGACTCGTTACCTCTCTGACGATGAATCAGTGGAAATGGAGCTCCAGTTAAGCTACCGGTCCAGCGTCTCCGTAGGATGGCAGAGAACCGTCCGGAGTGGTGGCGGGACTTCATCAACAACAGTTCACCTCACGAGTGGACTTCACATGAGTGGAGTCCGTCAGAAGTTCCACTCAGATGTGGAAGATTGCATAATTCCCACAAGACTCGAAGAGCTGCGGATCATGGCTGGACTTCTGTTCTCCCAAACGACTGGAGCTGCAAACTCTCCACCCGACTGGTTTGAACTAGGAAGTACCGACCTTTAAAGAGCTCTACTTCCGGTTCATTTGGGAGGTTCCTGATTGGTCAATATCGACCAGACAGGGGTGTGTTTTTGTGACGTAAGAGGTCACTAGGAGTCAGAAAAACAGAAAGTGTTTTGGAACAGATTGAAAATGTTTTTAGAGACAGAGAGAGAAATGTTTGGACGAGTTGGGTGAAAACAGGTGCCAGCTTCTCTATTTACGTCTGAGAGGATTTAAAAACATGACAGTTCGTTCCAACAACTTGTTTGCGTTTGACTCCAACCTTGGACCAACTTACACTTGCTCATTCAAAGACAGAAAATCAGAAAATGCATAATTACTCTGTAACAGACCTTAACATGATTTCTACTTTGCATGAGGATTAAAATCATTATTACTGTTTCACAGTTGAATTAAAAATGATTAGTTCACTTCAACATTTAAAAATGGTTTGAACTAACACAATTTGATTATCAAACATTTGTAAAATAGTAATGATAATAGAAAGTAGTGTTCTTTCACTTGATTAATTCAAGAAAGAAAGTCTCAGGATGGGTCAACCTGTATTTCTGGATTCAAATCAATGAAATGACAGTTTCTGTCCCATAAGGTCCTTAAGGTCAGGATTTGACCTCAGGCTTAGTTCACTACACCTTTGAGTTCAAGTATCTTGGGGTTTTGTTCATGATTGAGGGAAGAATGGAGCGTGAGATTGACAGACGGATTGGTGCAGCATCTGCGTATTGTGGACTCTGTGCTGGTCTGTTGTGGTGAAGAGGGAGCTGAGCTGTCAGGCAAAGCTCTCTGTTAACCAGTCAGTCTATGTTCCTACCCTCACCTGTGGTCATGAACTCTGGGTAGTGACTGAAAGAATGAGATCATGGATACAGGCAGTTGAAATGAGTTTCCTCTGCAGGGTAGCTGGACTCTCCCTTAGAGATAGGGTGAGAAGTTCAGTTATCAGGAGAACATTCTCCTCCACATCGAGAGGAGCCAGTTGAGGTGATTTGGATATGTAGGAGGAGGAGACCCCGGGGAAGACCCAGAGCATGCTAGAGAGACTATGTTTCTCAGTTGGCCTGGGAACACTTTGGAGTCATTCCAGAGGAGCTGGAAGAGGTGGCTGTGGAAATGGATGTCTGGACCTCCCTGCCCAAGCTGCTGCCCCCCAGACCTGACTTCAGAATAAGTGGAAGATAATGACTAGATGGATGGATGGATGGATGGATTGATAGATGGATGGATGGATGGATGAATGCATGGATTGATAGATGGAGGGATGGATGGATGGATTGATAGATGGATGGATGGATGGACTGAGTGGGAGTGAGTGCAGCTTACCACTCCGTTGACTGACAGCAGCTGGTCTCCTCTCTTCAGCCCTCCTTGGCGATCAGCTACCCCTCCAGGAATAACTCTGGAGATGTAGATGGGGGAGTTCTGCTCTTTCCCCCCCATGATGTTGAAGCCCAGTCCCTCTTCAGTCTTGGGCAGCTCCACCACCCTTGGGTGGGCATGACCCTCGCTGGCTGCAAAGGCAGCCACGGTGGCCTGAGGAGACACAAAATCCAACCATTGTCAAAGAGAAACACTGTCTTGTTACTCTGGGTTTGCCTATCAGCTGGGTCCAAACCTGAACAAGAAACTGGTTTGTGCTGGTTTTATTTATAGCATTCAGATGGTCGGTGTGTTTATTTTAATTCTTTTAAAATTTTCACAAGTGTACTAAACATACTCTTTATTTCTGTACAGAAAAATACTGTTTTTCACAAAATCTGGTTTGTTATACTGTACGTAAAGCTGAGACATAAAACTCAAGATAGATATTGTAAAGGTAAAATTATTATCATTCCACACACCGTAGGGGGGGGGGGGGGGGGGGTTGGTACATTTGGTTTTGAAATTCTTTACATCTTTTTGTTATGCATCAAACATCATCTATAACAGTGGTCCTCAAGCTGTTTTTGTGCCATGGACCAGTTTAATGTCAGATGATATTTTCACAAATTGGGGAGGAGGGTCTGGGGGTCCTCCCCCAGAGAATTTTGAATAAAGTAGATGCCATTTCCTGCATTCTGGTGTATTTTACAAAGGTTTATTACCGCAGATTAACATGAAAAAAGATAAAACTCATTATTGAAATGACTGAAAGCTGCAGCTCTGCAGGTAAGGTTCACTTCAGGACAAATTGAGGTCACTGATTGGTCAGCTGCTGACACGCCTACTGGATTGATTGACAGGTGGGTCGAGGGAGGATCCGACTACTGCAAAAAAAAAAAAATCATAAATTTTACTGGCCCGTTTAAGACTGTCATCATTTATTCAATATTTGTTCAATATTTATTCAATATTTTGGTGAATCTAAGGTTTGAGAATTGTTTTCTTACACAGTCCTGATGATGATGGTTTCTTTATTTTTCAGGGATGTTGAGTTAAAATTTAGGGGTACTTGAGCACCCCTAAACTGTACAATGTACAAACCTTTCAAGTTATTCAGTCCATCGTTCTGCTTCAATTAATATGTTATGCCCCTTGTTTCATTTCTACTAGGTGTTGTTTGTTATCTCTTCTGACGTACTTCAGATGGTTTAATGTTTCCCCAAGGAAATATCACCTGTTTCCAACTTCACGCTCAGCTTGCTCATTGCTGCTCTTATTTTGTCACTTCAGGTCTTCTTCTAAAAAAGTTAAATCTGGTCCTCTGGACATTCAAAAAACAAAACAAAGCAAAACAACAAAAAATGTAGAAACGTTTCATCTTTCATCTGAAAGACTTCCTCATTCTGAGGTGCTGTATTCAGCTCAGTCTTATTTTTAGATTTTTCTACCTGGATTATTGAGTATGCATCAGGATATTCAGGTCTTCTTGTTCCATCATCTTAGTAGATGTTCTACTTTTCCTTGCAACCCTGGAGTTCATTGTGAGGAAATCTGCACTTTTAGAGTAGATTTGATCGGTTTAAGGTTATTTTGTGAAAACCACAGGCAGATGCTCATGCTGCCTTTTCAAACGTGACTCAGAAGTCAGCTGAACATGTCAGTTCATACACGTCCAGTTCTCTGCACGTTTGGATTCACACTCAACACTCAAGCTTGTATGATGTAAAGGTCATCAGAAGTCATCTGTGTGCACAGAACACGTGCACAAAACTCTTCAGTTTGGGGTTTTGTTTTTAATACCTTGGCTGTAGCTTGTGCTCGCACCTCTGGTCCTCCAACAATGTCGAGAGTGTCGTAAAGCTGCTCGTACACCTGGCAGACAATAAAACCAACAATGGAGACATCTATCACTCTTGCTGAGCCATAAATTAATTTTTGTCTTAAAAAGTTTGGTTTTAAAGTTCAAAGTTTTGTCTATAAACTTTAAAACCTCCCCTTCCCCCCACGTTGCACATACCTCCCTGATGGCAGCACAGAACTTGCTCTGTAGGACTCTCTGAAGGGCCTGCAGTTTGGGAGGAGGCAGCTCCCCGGTCCGCTGAAGCCGGTCAAGCAGCTCAATCACCCTGCAAACATCTAAAACCACAAACAACAGGCCCATGTCAGTGGAATCACCAACAGTTGCCATTTTTATCATCCTGCTGTCTTAGGTACCACAAAACAACGTAAGACACATTTCCTGTCCCTTCATATTTTACCCATTAAGATGAATCTGCTGTCACAACACGACTGTTTGTAGTGATACTTTATTCATTTTAATGCATTAAGACAACACGCTGCATGCCAAGGTCCCCCCATCACTGAGGGATTTGAATAGTGGAGGTTGAGGACAACAGAATTTCCACCTGGACTATAAAAACTACACCGGGACCATAGAATCACCATCAGGACCATAGAATCTTCATCTAGACCATAGAGGACTCACCTCACCACTGGAAGAGGAGTTCCTCAGCGTCACCTCAGCAGAAGTAAGGCGTACTTTCAGGAGGATTAATCCTCATGAAGCAACCGGTCCAGACAACATCCCTGGGAAGGTGCTGAAAGACTGTGCCGATCAGCTCTGTGAGATGCTGGCAGACATCTTTAACACCTCACTTACCCTGGCAACAGTTCCCACCTGCCTGAAGACCACCAGCATCATCCCAGTCCCAAAAAGCTCTACAGTGACTGGTCTGAATGACTATCAGCCAGTGACCTTCACCCCGATAGTCGCTAAATGCTTTGAAAAACTAGTCATGACTCACATCAAAACAAGCATCAACATCAACGAGGACCCTCATCAGTACACATACCGTGAGAATCGATCGACAGAAGACACCATCTCCTCTGTGGTCCACACTGCTCTCACCCACCTGGAGCAGAAGAACTCTTACGTCCGTATGCTCTTTGTGGACTTCACGTCTGCCTTCAACACTATGATCCCCCAAACCCTGATGGACAAACTATTCACACCAGGACTAAGCCCCTCCATTTGCAACTGGGTCCTAGACTTCTTAACAAACAGACCACAGTCAGTGAGGATCCACAACTTCTCCTCCTCCACCATAACTCTCCCGTTTACTCTGCTCACATATGACTGTGCACCTACTCATCCAGGCTGTCATATTGTAAAGTTTAAAGATGATACAGTGGTGGTGGAAAGATTCACACACAACAATGCGTCCAGCTACAGGCAGGAGGTGGAACACCTGGAGAGCTGGTGCAAGGAGAATAACCTTCACATCAATGTGATCTTCACATTGACATGAAGGTGAAGGAGATGACTGTGACTTCAAAAGGAACAAACACAACTACACCCCCCCCACCCACCCACCCACCCAACATAGGACGATCTGCAATGGAAGTGGTCTCCAGCTACAAGTACTTGGGTGTACACCTGAATGACAACCTCATCTGGGGCAACAACACTACCAGCCTGATCAAGAAAGCTCATCAGAGACTCTACTTCCTCAGACGGCTGAGGCGAGCTGGTCTAGGAAGCTCAGTCCTCACCTCCTACAGGTGTGCAGTGGAGAGCATCCTGTGTTCCAGCATCAACGTGTGGCAAGGAGGCTGCACAGCTGCAGAAAGAAAAGCTTTGCAGAGAGTGGTGAAGGCTGCACAGAAGTCTGTTGGAGTCAGCCTCCCCACCATCACAGACATCTACACCTCCAGAGGCAGGAAGAGGGCTACCTGCATGAATCTCTAACCAGGATATTCATGGTGAAAAAAAAACGACTCGTGTTCATGCTGCTGTTGTTCTGCGTATTGTTTTTGTACTACTAGTGCTTAGTCTATTCTTAGATTAGTGTATTTCTTAATTCATATCTTAGATCTTATTACTGTTTTTCTTTACAATTTATACTTTTGTTGGATGTAACTGGGACCCTGTGTACACAATTTCATTCCACTACATGTACCACATGTGCTGTGACTGAAAGAAACTTTGACTTTGATTTTGAAACTACATCTGAAATGTAGCAGCTACACTTTGGACCAAAAAAAACAACAACTGCTGGAGGTTTCTTCCTGTTAAAAGGAGGTTTTTCCTTTCTACAGTCACCGATGTGCTGCTCAGAATGAGACATTGTAACAAACTAAAGATTTAATGTAGTCAGCTCGCTTTCTTAGGGCGGCTGTGTCTGAGTAGTTAGAGGAGTCGTCCTGCAGTGGGAGAGTTGGTGGTTCAATTCAACCAGCAGTCACATGCTGAAGTGTCCCTGGGCAAGACATTGAACCCCTCGTTGCCTCTGATGTGTGTCCCATCAGTGTATGAATGTGATAAAGCTCTGATTATTCAGATATATATTAGGGGTGAAGCAATACATCGATTTAAATCAATATATCGATTAAATGATTAATGATTCGATTATATTGTGGCAAAACTAAAACATCGATTCATGTCGTCATCTTTAAAATACACTTTTATTTTGAAATTCCCAAGGCACGTCTGTGTCACCATTTCTGTGCATGGCTGCGCTCTGCAGGCGCCTCAGCAACATGGCAGACGAGGCAGAAAACACAGATACTGAAATTCACTCTCCTGCTGGATTTAAATCAACACTGTGGAAATATTTAGATTCCAACAGAAGGACGGCTCAACAGACAAAACTCATGCCGTAGCAACAGGTGCCAATGTGAGTTAAATACTCAGGAAACACAACTAATTTGTCCGTTCACCTGAAGAAGAAACACAGCACTGATAGTCATGTTATTTTAGCTCAATATCTATTTTTGTTTCTTTATAAATGAAAGGTAATCAGGGCACTTTTTAGTTAACTGGTTTAAAAAATGCACTTAAACATGTGAAATGTGTGACTATACTGAGCAGGTCATTTATTTTTATTTTTTCATTAATTAAGAAAAAAAATGTAAATGCCTGGTATAACAGAAATAAAATGGTTAAATTATATTTGAATTGTTTTTGTAAATGTTTTTATATGTAAATGAGATGGGCATTTGATATCGCAATATATTAATCACAGACTTGTGAATCAAATAGAATCGAAATCGTATTGTGACAGACTTTGTAATATTGAAAAAAATCGTATCATACAAACAAATCAATATAATATAGTATCGTGGTAAAACTAATAGGGCAGCACGGTGGCGCAACTGGCAGAGCCGCTGCCTCTCAGCGAGCAGGTCCCTGACTCAAATCCAGGTCCGGGGGCCTTTGTGGGTGGAGTTTGCATGTTCTCTCCGTGCATGCGTGGGTTTACTCCGGGTACTCCGGTTTCCTCCCACAGACCAAAAACATTCATGTTAGACTGATGGGTTAGACTCTAAATTGTCCCTAGGTGTGAGTGCGAGAGTGAATGGTTGTTTGTCTCGTTTGTTTCTATGTGTCCCTGTGACGGACTTGCAACCTGTCCAGGGTGTACCCTGCCCCCCGCACAGTGATTGCTGGACATGGGTACTGGCGACCCCTATGACCCAAGGCCAAATTAACCATATGGGCAACTGGGCAACTACCCAGGGGCCCACAATATCTAAGGGGCCCAGGGCAGTGAGGGCACAAGCAAAATATCTGGTTATCTCCTGTTTTAGTTGGAGTCCTGCGCTGCACAGACTGCTGTGCTTCCGCTGCATTTGTGCAGCCCCGCCTCCTCCCAGCATGGCTGCTGCAGCTCTCGTTTTTTTTTCCACAATCGGATCCTCTACAGCGCAACCTGTCAATCAACTCAGAAGGCGTGTCAGCAACTGACCAATCGACGACCTCAATTTGTCCCGAAGGTAAACGCCCTTTACCTGCTGACAAGCTCATGAGGTTTTTTTTTCTTGAGAAACATTGTTTTAAATAAAACAATAAGTTTGTACCTGTTGTGAGATGATTTTAGCAGTTTTGCAGATTTTTAATCTACTTAATGAAGAATAGTATGACTTAAAATCGTTCATCAAACAGGAAGGAAGGCTTATTATTTCTCCTCTTACTACAGTGAATGTCGTACTTTGCTATAAGTACAACTATATTTATGGCATTAGAGAAAGCGATTCACCTTCACTTTAGGAGATTTAGGCCATTTGACAAATTTAGAATGAGCAGAAATCCTTCTGGTTTTATGATTTATATTGGGAGGTTTCTTGAAGGAATCTTTGTTATACTCAGTAAATCCTTTGTCGCAAACATTCATTGATAATCTTATTGCATTTGAAGTCAACGAAGTTACAGGCATTTAATTTTAATGTTGGCACCAAATCATCACCTTTGAATATATATTGTTAATTAACTGAATCAGCTGTTGGTCAGGCTACTTCTTGTTGTGCCATTAGCTCTAAAACAGTTACTGAATCAAGTGTTTACTTCCATCCATCCGCGGGGGTAGCAGCCTAAGTAGGGAGGTCCAGACTTCCCTCTCCCCAGCCACTTGGACCAGCTCCTCCAGGGAAATCCCAAGGTGTTCCAAGTGTTTACTTATGTAGGTAAAACTAGATGTTAAACAACCGTTAAAATGCACCATAATGCCGGAAATGACATCTACTTTATTCAGAATTTTCTGGGGGAGGACCCCCAGACACCCCATCAATGTGTCCCCCCCCCCCCCCCCCCACACACACACACACACATTATAAATGCTTCTGACACCAGTGGTCAACATGTTACTAAACAAGTACACAGTGTCGTGTGGTGTTCAAAGTGCGTTCAACTTAATTCAGTCTTGATGATTTGTGTCAATGAACATTTGGATTTTTATAAATAAAAATACACTTGATAGTTAGAATTTTAAGTATATTTACTGTATATTATGGTAATTTATTATGTATTTTGCCAGATTATGGTGATTCTGGGATCGTGATGATGGGGCCCTTGAAAATTGTTGCCCAGAGTACAGTGAAGAGTTAATCTGGCCCTGCCATGACCCAAAATGGAAGAAGCGGGTAAAAGATAATGGATAGATGGATGGTAAAGCTGGTGATTTACACCCCTAATATATAGCAGAGTGCTGTATGAATGGGTAAAGGGTACAGACTGTGTTGTAAAGAGCTTTCTTGATAAAGGAGGTATGTAAATACAGTCCATTCTTTGATGACTTTTACTAATTTACATAATCCGGACGTGGTTTGGATTGAATTGGATTAAACAAACATTATGATTTGATCCTTTGTAAAATAATAATAACGATGATGATTTTCTCTTCAAAACGCGTTTTTTAACCCCTTTTCCCGAAGAGAGGATTTCAAGTCTTCCTATTCTAAATGATCAGAACCGGTCCAGTTCTACAGGAGGCCTAGCGCAGGTCTGATCCTCCGTGAGATACAGAACCAGCCAGTTCCCATCATCATCATAATGAGACATATTAGTAAAAACAAAGGTTTCCATCGAGGACGGAACCAACACCGCCCGGTACCTCACCTCTCTCCAGGCAGAGGGGTTCGCTTGTGGCCGCCATGTCTGCGTCCTTCGCGGGGTGGTAGAAGGAGGATATCATCCTGTCGAGTCCTGCTGCTCCACCGAGACCTCTGAATTCGAGCAGTCTCACAGAGACGAGTCCATGTGTCCAGACGAGGACAAGACGAGCAGAGACACACCGAGACAAAGGGACAACCTGACGCACATCAGCGCGTGAGCAGTCACACCAGAGTCCAGGCTCCGCAGCACGTGCAGAAAAAAAGACTGTTTTAAAAAAAAAAATTTTTTTTTTGTTATATTATACA